AAACACTGCTCACATTTTACCACAAGCTCTGCTTTTCCACTGAAAACCAGGCTTTATTTAACTTTCACAAAACATTGTATTCCTTTCTTTGTCACTTTTCCTACATGTCAAGACATTCAACAAAGTCTGGATCCCATCCCCATTCTCCAGCTGCAGCTCCCGTTGGGATCAATGCCAACATTGTAAGCATGGAGGAAGCCTCGGTCCAGGTTTCCAGGGACAGTGCTGCTGTACCTGGGGTCCACTGCAAACCAGTGAGCTGAAGCTTTTGCATCCTGCAGTGCTCCCACCTCCTGCAGCCGCTGTTGGCGTCAGAGCTCAAGAGGTGCTAGAGCCAAAACACTCGCCTTGCAATCACGGGGACTTCAAACTCAGCAGTGGGGGTGGGCTGTTTCAATTACTGAGGCTGCTCTCAGCTACCTGAGGACTTGGCATTAAGTACAGCCCTCTGGGAATCCTGCTTTCTGCTCACTCACCCCTTCCTCCCGAGCTGGCTGTAAGAAAGGATTTCCGGAGAAGCAGGAGGGGGTTTAATCATGATGAAAGTCACAGACAGTGGGCAGCTGCCGACAGCAGCAGATTGCTGTTACTGTTACCTGTTTTACAGGGGAAAACTGAGTGTGCTGCTGCCACTGATGCTCCCAATGTGGAAAACACGAGCTGGGAGGCAAAAATAGCCAAAATCTCAGCTGGTGACAGTGGAGCCATGAGCCCAGCTCTGGGATGGCAAAGCTCTGCTCTGCCAATGCAGCTGAAGAGGCTTGCGGCAGTATTGTGTAAAAGCTGCTATGTAAAGGCAAGTTGGCTTTTGTACAGCACTGTGTCCAGGTGGTTTCACCTGCAAAAACCTCAGGTACTTCCATCTGCCTCTACCAAGATAGCTTTGTGCCAGGAGACCAGTGAATCAGGTCACTGAATATGCCCTGTGGTCTAATTTCAAGAATATATGCCAGTGAGTGGGGCTTGCATAAAAACTCACTTGCTTGAACCAGAAATTTATGCTGCAAGAGCAAGCATGAGCCAAACAATTTTGGACCATATCAAGCCAAAAAAATCTCCCTTCCAGGACAAAAACATGAAGCCACAAAAAGCACACTGGGCAAACACAAAATGCAGTAAAGGATGCTGCAGGAGTGTTGCCTTTCCCTGCGGAACACACCAGATGGAGAGGCTGTCCCGCATGTCCCCACCACATCCCTTCTGCTTGTGGAGGATGTCACAGAGGTGCTCTGATGGCTCAGGTGGAGGTAGGGAGGGGGGTGCAGAGTCTGAGGGGAAGTATAAGACAGCCTTTTCCCTTTATGAGGGACCACAGGGCTCACCAGCACTTCTGGACCAAGCTTCGGTGCTGCCTAGTGGAGCAGGCAGCCTCTGCCCTGACAAGGTGCTGTGCCATGGGGCAGGATGGGGCTCAAGGTGCAGGCAAAGTCTTTGCCTCTGCTATTGGCCCACAGCCTTGCAGACTCTGATGCTCCTATGGTTTGTGCCATCCTGTTTAGCATCTGTGGCACAATCAGAAAGAAGAAATAGTGCTTTGAAAATGAAGCACCAGCCAAGATCTGAAAATCTTGATGCTAGCACCAGATACGAATGCGTGCATTGCCACCTACCTCCTAGTATCTGCGTGCGCTCTGCAACCACAGACTGGCAGGACAGACTGCGTTACCGTGTATCTCCAGCATCTGCTGGGTCTGTAACCAGCACACAGCAGCCTGCAGCTGAACATGGGCGTTTGAGCTTCATTTTTTGCTCTCCCAGGTCACAGTGCAGCAGCCCCAGCAGACAGGTGAAGTGCTAAAGGGTGGCTTGGGGCATCTGCTCTTAGGCATGGTATTCCTCCATGTCTGATCCAAATCCCTATAACTTGCCATTAATCTCTGCAAAGTGCTTCTGCTGAATCTCAGGTGAGTGTGGCATTATGGCTATACACCTCCTAGAAGAGCTTTACCTACCTAGTAGACGATGCAATGAGCATGTTTGTTACATGAATTTGCACATATATTAATCAAATGTCATTTCTTGCAGCACAGGTTCCAGTTTGTGTTCTATGGCATCTGATTGCAAGCAATCACGTGTTATTCTTTCCCAGAGTCTTTGTTTTTCCTGAAAGTCTTCTACCTTTTCTGTAGGTACAAGTTTTCACTCAGATTGTTCCCACAGCAGTAACAGGAAACTGCCAATGACTTCAAATGAATCTGAAAACAGCCCTTGGAAACATGCTCTGTGCAAATTCTGAAATCACTGAATTGTGAAAAATGTCCTCCTGATGCTGAGCAACCTATCCAGCACGGCATGAGATCCACACGCAGGCAAATCCAAGGAGCCAGGAGCCGCTCTAAGGGCACTGAGGTACATCAGCTGCAGCTCTCATGTGTACACCCAGCATTGAGCCCTCCCACTAGGAACAGAGCGTTTGAGCTCTCCCAGCTTGTGTCCTTTATGTCCCCCCACAAAACCCTCTTAGCCAAGCTCAGTGCAGAAATCTCATCCTGGAGCACAGAGCTCTCCTCAGTCACAGGCTCACAGGAGCTGGTGACAAAACTTCCACTGGTTTTAAGAAACCACAGTTGCTGCCAGTACCACTCCTCCTTTCTGAAAAGCTGAACTGCATTTGGGATTAAGTAAAATCAGGAAGTATTAGCACTGAAAAGACAAACTGGTTGCAGTTACACAGATTAAACCTTCCACTGCACTTGATTATCAGCAAAACAGATCACTGTGAGGTCTGAATACATGAGGCTGCATGTCAGAAGAAAATGGTGTTTTTGTTTTGTGATTCCCACAGTCTATTCACATTATTTTATTTTTATTTGAAACACAGAAGACAGATAACATGACACCCTGTTGCGGATGCAATTAATACATGAGAAATAAATGGATTCTACTCAGGCTGCCACGACATGTACAGCCTCTATTTAATAGTGAGTTTGTTTTTCATAGAGGGTGTGTTGGCAATTCAGTAGCATTGCAGTAAGTAAAGGCTCCTCTTATGATCTATGACAATCATGAAGAGACTCCAACAGCTTCCAGTGTCAGCCAGTATGCAGGCTTCTGGAGGCTTACAGATCAAAGAAAATAATTGAGTTTCCACAGCCATTACTAGGGAATTTCAAGCAGCTATTGCTCATACTGAGATCATGGCTAGACAATAAAAACAGAGTTTGCACAGGAACAAAGCAGAAAGCACTCAGGACTTCAGTGTTTGAATTGTTTGCAACCCAGGCTAAGTAAGAGCTGAGACTTCATCAGTCCAGCTCTTCTGAAAATTCAGCTTATAAGCCTATATTCCTTGTAGCTGGTTACCAGCTTGAAATGGAGCAAATCCTGCTGTACATGAGCCATTTACTCCTTGCTACAGCAGCAGCATTTCAGTCTGGGAGAGCAGCATGATGCAAGAGAAGCATAAAGAAGAAGACAAAAGGAAAAGGAATGAGAGCAGGAATAACTGGACAGTGCCCACCCACACCCCTTTCTTTTTTCTTTTTTTTTTCTTTTTTCTTTCTCCTTTTTTTTTTTTTTTTAATTTGTACACCATTTCCCCTCTCTTTATGGGGAAAGGACAGAAGGTATCAGAGATTAGACAGCCTCATTTGTGTGACCTGGGGAGCAGGTTCCCATCTTTTTTTCAGCATCAGAACCAGAAGATGACAAGACAAGAAAGTTACAGATTCTTATTTTCCCAGAAAGTTCCCTGAAGTCATAGCTTGGTCATAAACCATTGTAAATACAAAAAGTAGTAAGCAGTTTTCAGTGTAGGTGTGTAAAGACATCAGCTATCAGACCAGCAGATGTTCCAGGAACAGTGAGAATTAAATACTGTAACACATGAATGCCCTTTAAAGAGAAGTCTTAGCGAGATGATCTCACAGCACAAAAAGAAAGAAATCAAAATGGGGAAAAAAGCTATAAGCAAGCCCACAGAGGTTTGAGACAGGCATACACAGGAAAGATGCCCTTGTGCAGAGCTGTAAACCAGGGAGAAACCAGGGCTTTAAAGAACGTTTTGCAGTAATTCTGGTCCATGTCTCCACTCGATTTGTTTCTCTCTCCAGCCTCCTGGCACTGGGAACTCACATTTTGCCATATGAAGACAGGTTGGGAAAGCGGGGCTGTTCAGCCTGGAGAAGAGAAGCTGCGTGGAGACCTCAGAGTAGCCTTTCAATATCTGAAGGGGGCCTATAAGGATGCTGGGGAGGGACTCTTCATTAGGGACTGTAGTGGTAGGGCAAGGGGTAATGGGTTCAGACTTAAACAGGGGAAGTTCAGGTCAGATATAAGGAGGAAGTTCTTTACTGTGAGGGTGGTGAGGCACTGGAATGGGCTGCCTAAAGAAGTGATAAAGGCTCCATCCCTGGCAGTGTTCAAGGCCAGGTTGGACAGAGCCTTGGGTGACATGGTCTAGTGTGAGGTGTCCCTGCCCATGGCAGGGGGGTTGGAACTAGATGATCTTAAGGTCCTTTCCAACCCAAACCATTCTGTGATTCTATGTTCCCAGCAGTGAGCTGAGCAGTTGCTCCAACACACAAGTGAGACACAAGAAGCCAAGAGATGCTGCAGTACTACAGGTGAGAGGACTGGGACCCTCCCAGGACAGGCTTCCTCACATTTCTAACAGTCTGCCCCAGACCACCTCCCTTCCAGAATATTTTGCTTTCTATCTGTTATATCCTCTGTCAAACAGAGCTCTATGTAACACTGGAGGAGGGGATATTCAGGAGCCACAAGGACCTACTGCAGATGTCTGAGAAGAAAGGATTGGCTAGTCTCAGAAAAGAAAAGCCATGTCAGAAATGCAGGGAGAAAAGGGACAGATCTACAGAGTAGCTGGATGACAGATCTGCTCTCTGATTATGCTCCAATCCCCTGAGGCTGAGCCTATCGAAGCATCTGGGAATTATTTCTGCAGATTGTCTGTAATTGGCACAGTTACTGGAAGCTGCTATTATGGAAAATGAGCCTGTTGTTGTGCATAAACTTAATCATGGGAACCTACAAAAGGGGGAAGTAAAGACTTGCTCCTTTAATCATATGATCATAGTTTCCAAGCGTTCTTCATCATGATGATAAAATAGACATCTGTGTCTATTGAAGCGCTCACTCCTGCATAGTAGTTCATGAATTCTTCTGTTGTGACCTGAGACAGAAGGATTTAAAATAAGAAAATGAACCTTTATTTTTTTTTAATGTTGTAAGCCAAAACCACACATTAAGAACTCTAAATGAAACTTAACATCTGCTATTTCATGTTATTAGTGAAAAGGAATCCACGAGAAAGAATGAAGCCACTGAAAATTTGATAAAGTTCATTTCTTTGCTAGAAATAAGAGCTCTCGTCCTCCAAGAGCACTTGGATGGAAATGAAATATGTAGAGTTGAACTAATGTTACCAGGAACTGAAGTGAACTGAAGTTAAAATCAGTGCTACCCTGGAAGACTGATGTACATTTTTTTCCAAGGATGCTATGCTCTGGTTCTTTGCATTATAATTGTTAAAAGTGAATGGGATTTTGGTGCAACCCAGTGACAGTTAGGAGCTTTATATCCATTCACTAGAGAAAATGCTGTTGCTCTAAACAGCTCTTACTCAAAGAAGCAAACATTCTTTCAAATACCCACACATTTTGAACATCTTTCACCAGCATTTTGAGGTTGAATTAGTTTTAAAATGACCATTAAAAAAATACAATAAGAATCAGATTAGCAGAAACAAACAGTGCATGTCTTTTGTGATGGCCTAACTCTTGAGGTCATTCTTTGAATAAACATCACATAGAAAAATATTTGCTTCTATTGCACTGCACGTTTGAGAGCTAAGTGAAACACAACAATGGGGACAAGTGAACACTGTAGACTGTCCTGTCATCAGGAACTGATTACAAGTTTCACTGACTCTGTCTGTTTCAGAGGCACCCAGCAAGATCACAGTGAAAAGGCCTTTAACAGCAGAGGCTTAGCCTTGAGGCATTTCTGCTAAAAACATTTTAGGCTTTCAGCTCATACCAATGTCATTAATGACATCTGATTCAGACACAGAAAAGTCACAGTCAATTCTCAGCAGAAAATGCAATTGTGTAAGCGAACGTCAGGATTGCTGAACGAAAAGTGAGTGCTCAGAGTAATTTTTCTGTAAGCTCAAACACTGCAGCGTGTATGAGGTACAAGGCACTTAACTTGTGAAGGATCATTTTGGGGACCCATTTAATGTGTTCACTTATAGCACAAAAAGCAGGAAGATTGTGCTTAAGGTTTGCTGGATGTCACCACTGCTGAAGAGAAGGAAGGGAACAACTCTCACAACTGATACCTCTGAGGATGAAACTACAGAAAAAGGGATGAAATTCAGCTCTAGCAAGTGCAAAGTCATTCCCAAGGGAAATACAAATCATCACCTCCCTACAAACAGAATGTTGGAAACAAAGCAAGTGGAAGATTTGAGTGTAGCAACCAGCCTTTAGACAGGTGGGAGTCACTAGTGTAGTGCAACCATGAAAACCCAGGTGTAACTTCAGAAGTGCAAAGTTATAAATGCACACTAATAAATAAAGGCAAAATCCTTTTGCCTGTGTAGGCACTTACTGACTGCGTTCAAGCCACCTCTCAAGTGCCTTTTTGAAAACATAAGAGGCTTGATTTATTTACTTTTTTTTATCTGTCATCATAAGAAATTTTCCACTTATTTAGTCACCTTTGTGGATTTTCACTGTTTCCGTGTCCTTCTCCAAGTGTCAGGCCAAGAAATAGACAAAGTGCTCATGAAACTTTATCTAATTTGTTATTATGAACATCATGAGACCTAGAATATCACCATGTGAACAGCAATGATCCACAATTTCTCTGAGCTGCTTAGGCATGTGTAAGTTCAGACCAAAGATGTTTGGAAACACATAACAAGAGAAAACAAAGCCTGCTTGGCTCAGTGATAGTTATAAAGCAGATGCAGTCCATTACAGAAGGTGACCAGGTTTTACATCTGCACTGGGGAGGCAAGGCAAAGAGCAGGAAGGTCTATGAGCCCAGCACATGGCTGCTGGCAGCCTCTCCAATCCCACCCTCCCTCCAATTCTCTCTGGATAAATTTGTCTCTATTATGGACTAATTTCCAAGTCAAGTGTCTCAGTAATCACACACTGGAGAAGTGTTAACTGTGAAATATACCACATATTAGGGAACCTGCTTTTGAACTGGATCCTAAGAAGCGAAAAACTCTCTAATGCATGTGGATCTTGAAAATCAGCAGTCATGTGGGTTAGTCTGAAGATACACTTAAAGTAACCTATGAAAGTAGAGCATTAAGGCAACAAGCATGTAAATGCAATCTCATGTCTATTCTTGCACCTCCTGCAGAGTCCCTTTGCCTCTGAATGCTTAAGCAAGCTGCACAACTAGTCCCACACAGAGAGTAGGCATCCATTTTACAGTCCTCCATAAATGTGACACAAATGCCTGTTTGGTACTTCAATCACTCACATTTAATAAGTCAAACGCTGAGTCAGGTGGTGATTTCATGGCTTGACATTTGGTGTTTTCACTTACCTTCCCATCTTTGTCATATGGTGAATCAAAATTATCCAGAAAGGCCCTAAAAACTTGATCTTCTGTCCAGTCTCCATTCTGGTATTTAGGATGATGCTTTGCATTATACACCCCCCGTAAGTCTTCAATTGTTACGACACCATCTCCAGTCTTATCTAACTTCCTAAATGCCTGCATGATGATCTCTTTTCTTGCATTTGACATGGGAGGCTGTGAAGAAATATTAACAGAATCATTTAATTTCTGCCAACTACTTGACCAGTTCCAAATTCAAGCAACTGCTATTGTTAATAGTAAACCTATTTCAGGGCACTTAGACAACAAATGGCTGACAGTTTACACTGTCCATGAGCTAGGAAGGGCAATATATCACCAAAAAAACAGTGTGATCAAATCTATTTACTATCAATGTGATAATAAATGGACAGTAAGAGAGAAAATGCTAACTAGAACACTTTTCTACACATTTTAAATATTTCTAACAAGAAATTACTTATTACTCTAAGTACTGATTATTCTAGTTCTAAATTGATTAGACTTAAGCAGAGCGAAGAGGGTCCAACCAAAATCGTTCACTCTGTGGTTGATTAGGGAAAGCCATTACTGGATTAGTTGATTTTATAAGGAAACACATCATAAAATTACAGAACAAGTGAGATTAATGGGCTGAACCACATAGGTACCTGGACTGTAATATAGGAATTGAGATATCTAAATCATGTCAGCAATCCATTAAAAAATTAACCATTTATTTGCAACTCTTCCATTCTACTCTGCTCTGCTCTGCTCTGTTCTGTTCTGCTGTGCTGTGTTCTGTTCTGTTCTGTTCTGTTCTCTTCTGTTCTCTTCTGTTCTGTTCTCTTCTGTTTTGTTTTTTTCTTCTTTTCTATTTATGGGGAGCCTTACGTATTTCCAGTAAATGCAGAGACATTAGTTTCTGAGCTCTCTCATCCAGAGGTGTTGTTTAGGCTGATTTTCTCCTTTAGGATTTTTAGATGGAAATAGAATATTCTAACTTCTCAGGAGTTACTGACTTTTTCAATAGAGCTATAGACTTTGCTAGTTACTAAGGTGAACAAATTGCTGTGTTTTGTGTTTGACTAATGACAAACCAATGCTTTTCTCCATCTAATGCAGTAGAAACATAAATTCCCAGACTTACTCTCAGTGTAACAAGAAATTCATCAAAATCAATTGTTCCACTGCCATCTTTATCAAATATCCGGAAAATCTCTTGTGCTTCTTCCTTGTCTATCATCACAGCATAATCATTTAATCCTTTCACAAACTCTTTGAAATCAAGGGTCCTGCTGTTGTCATCATCCATAATCCTAAACACTCTGTGGAAAATGTGCAAATTGAGGAGAATGCTTAGGAAAACTTGGAGAATGCTGTAGTGGTTTAGCACAGTGACAGCGCACAGAGAATCCTTCCTGAGGTAACATTTTCCCCACAGTCTGCTGATGAAAAAAGAAACCAACCAACAAATAAAAACCCAAAGCAAAACAAAACACCAAAAAACACAACAACCACCAAAAAAGAACCCCCCCAAAAAACACCAGAAAAACAAAAGGAGGGGAGAGAGTGCCAAAAAAACCCAACACAATGGCAGCAAAGATGACTTCCTTAGGCTGAGTGTCTGAATATTACACAGCCGAAGTGAGGTGAAGGCTGCCTTAACTGAAGGAGTCTTCCTATTATAGGAATTTATTATGTATTTGTATTTTTTATATAT